TGTTTAATTGGATATAGTGCAGTGCAGTGTGGGAAATATTTAATGAAAAATCCTAAAAATCAGTCGTTGATTTTTAAAAAATGTAGCACCACAAGTTCTTTTATTCGTCTGTTCCAACTTATCAGAAAAAATAAATATTGCGTATCATGAGGTATCACGATACTATATTTACGCCATATCGCCCAGCTCTACAGCGATATGATTCCAATGTCATCGTGCATCACTACAGGCTTTAAAATGATGGTTCTTTAGGGGTTCTTTGGCGTCAAGGGGTCTTTGCATCGAGAAAGGGATCTTCAGGTTGAAGGAGGATGTGATGTATATGGTTCTATACAGAACCTTTTGAAAAGGGTTCTAGATAGCAACAAAGGTGGTTCTTGTACTGTTATGATGTCAAGCCATGCAAAGAACCATTTAAGCATGCAAATTGTTCTACACTCTAAAAAAAAGATGCTTCTTCGAGAGTTTCATAAAGAAAACGGTTCTATATAGAACCGTGAACACTTAACATGAAAGCATTCTTGAGAATATGCTGTAGATGGTTCTATATAGAGGTTTCTGTATAGCAACAAAAAGGGTTCTTCTATTGTAACAAGCTTGACATTGTAACAATAGAAGAACCTTTTTTGTTGCTAAATAGAACCCTTTTCAAAAAGGTTCTGTTTAGAACTATATACAACACGTTCAGAATCAATCTGAAGAACGCTTTCATGATGCAGAGAACACTTTAATCATGCAACGGGTTCTTTGAGTGTTCATGGTTCTACATAGAACTATTTTTTTCACTAATGAACTCTCGAAGAACCATCTTTTTTTAGAGTGTAGAACAATTTGCATGCTTAAATGGTTCTTTGCATGGCTTGACATCATAACAGTACAAGAACCACCTTTGTTGCTATCTAGAACCCTTTTCAAAAAGGTTCTGTATAGAACCATATACAACACATCCTCCTTCAACCTGAAGATCCCTTTCACGATGCAAAAACCCCTTTAATCATGCAAAGGGTTCTTTGAGTGTTCACGGTTCTATGTAGAGCTATTACTAAAGAACCCTTTGAAGAACCATCATTTTTAAGTGTGTTGTAATAAATTCGCTTCATAATGTTCAAAGTTTTATTCCAAAAATCAAATATTGGTAAAAAATTTAAGTGAATAAAAATGACGATGATAACTGGCTGCCGTCCAATCAGCTACTCGTTGCTATGCAGTTACTCTACACTGGATGTTGTTGTTTCCAGGCTCTCCATAATTGGCCTTTTTTATAATCCAAACAAAAAGCGAATTGTGACTTATTACAATAATGATAACATCATATGATCCACCTCTATTACAATGTAATAAACATCCACACACTGTTCCTATCTTGTGACTCAGACAAACAGGCTGTAAAAGGGAACCAAAACCCACACAGCAGTCCTCCACTGAGTTAGTTGTCCAGTTCCGCTGTCTCTGCTGCAGACTGTAAATACGTCAGCTTTCTTAAACTGTACAGTTATGTCACTGAGGAAAGCTCAGATTAGAGCGGAGAGTCCAGCTCAGCTCCGCCGCTCTGAGAACACCTGCGTAACAAACAGGCCACTCACTAAATCACAGCTTCACAAACACAGCGGAGTTCAGAGACTCACTGAAACTGGACGACAACCTTAATCCACTCAAACCCGACACGACTTCACTGGGGTTTATAACGTGACCTTCCAGGTTTCCTCTCTCTGTTCTGTTCACTTCAGCAGAGGCATTAAAGGGCCCATATCACAGAAAACCTAATTAACATTCACCGCCCACTTCATACAGCACTTCATTAGGCTCACCTGCCTTGTATCTACATTTACTGCCCATTTATCAGCTCCACTTACTATATAGGTGCACTTTGTAGTTCTACAGTTACAGACTGTAGTCCATCTGTTTCTCTGATACTTTGTTAGCCCCCTTTTACCCTGTTCTTCAGTGGTCAGGACCCCCATGGACCCCCACAGAGCAGGTACTATTTGGGTGGTGGATCATTCTCAGCACTGCAGTAACACTGACGTGGTGGTGGTGTGTTAGTGTGTGTTGTGCTGGTACGAGTGGATCAGACACAGCAGTGCTGCTGGAGTTTTTAAACACTGTGTCCACTCACTGTCCACTCAATTAGACACTCCTACCTTGTCGGCCCACCTTGTAGATGTAAAGTCAGAGACGATAGCTCATCTGCTGCTGCACAGTTTGTGTTGGTCATGCTCTAGTCCTTCATCAGTGGTCACAGGACGCTGCCCACCGGACGCTGTTGGCTGGACGTTTTTGGTTCTCAGTCCAGTGGCGACACTGAGGTGTTTCAAAACTCCAGCAGCACTGCCGTGTCTGATCCACTCGCACCAGCGCAACACAGACTAACACGCCACCACATCAGCGTCCCTGCTGAGAATGACCCACCACCCACGTAATTCCTGCTCTGTGGGGGTCCTGACCATTGAAGAACAGGGTAACAAAGTATGCAGAGAAACAGATGGACTACAGTCTGTAACTGTAGATCTACGAAGTGAAACTATACGGTCAGTGGAGCTGATAAAATTGACAGTGAGTTACACACATCACAAACAACTAGTTTGGAATTCACTGTTTTTCTGATCTCCCTTTTCCAGCCTATTCCGCCTACAGCAGTTCAGCTCTGCCCACTCACACTGAAGTTATAAGGAGTGTTTCAGGCCAGTCTGCTTTTTGAAATAAGGCACAATACAAAACAGCCAATCAGAACAGAGGTAATTTACCTATGTCAGTCTTAAAGGCACAGCAACCACTGTTCACATCTGATGTTACGTACAGAACTTTAAACGCTACTGTTGTGTTTTAAGTGGCAAAATATTATATCATAATATGGCGACGCTTTTGCTCCTTTGCCCTGATTATTTCTGACCGTTTTAGTTAGTCTGAGTTTTCTGTTTACACTCTGAGTATCATTATTTATCTAAAGCAGTCCAAAGCAACTTATGTCATAACCTAATTCTTACAGCATGAGGCTGAGTCTGACACACTTCGGTAGTCTCTCTCTCTCTCTCTCTCTCTCTCTCTCTATAATCCCACTCTAACTCTTTGTTTTCTTTCAGTAAATTATGGAGCAGGTTATGAAGGCTGCAGAAATGACAGGGTGGGGATAAACAAAACTGTCACTAACTGTCTGTTTATGACTGATTTCTCTTATTTGTAAAAGGCTTCAACTAAACTGTTTTGTATGCACACTCTACACATACAGGGAAGTACTTTGTATATCGCTGCTGTCAGAACAAAACGTTGTATCTCCATTTTTTAGTTTTTGACATAATTTGAAAACACCTGTTGCCCTTTACAATGTGTGTAAATTTCATGATGAATGGACCAAAAGAAACGACCCGAAATGACTTGGAAAAAAATCTGGTTCCACTGACTTACATTAAAAGTAAAGAAGGTTTTTCCTTCTCCTGTAAAGTTACCATTCTGGAGATATGAGATTTTGTTCCGACAACAGCGATACGCAGTGTCATAAACGCAAATTTACACCCCATTTTTGTTTTCTCTATTATTGCTACTGAATGCTTTTAGATCTGTAAACAGTGCAACTTTATTATTTATTCAAGGAGCAAAGTTATCTAAAGCGCAAATCAGCTATTGCAGCTAGAGGCTGTGAAACAAGGGGGCACATACTTTTTCACAAGGGTGATTTGAATATTGATGAATGAAACAATATTTTTTTTTAGATTGACAGGGTCCTCTTGATACATTTTGAGACCTCAAATTGTTCACTGAGACAAACAGGGAGAATCGAGAGGGGGCAAATACTTTTTCACAGCACTGTATTTTCAATCTTTTTTCTACACTTTATCTGCTCATCGTTATTTACTAGTATTCTCAGCATAAGCATCAAACTCAGGGTGTCACAAACTGAATACTGTTATATGTATAGAATGACAAGGTAGTGATGGGCAACGTAGCATCTATACTGGTGTTGTTGATGCATAACAGCAAAGATTTCTTATATAAATTATGTTTTTTTTAACAACATTGATCTTTTCAAGCAACCTGTTACAATATATGTCACTGTCATTTCTTATTATTTGAAATATAACAGTTTGAAATAAGTAAACTGAATAAGTATTAAGTTTATATGTGCACTTGTGGTCTGAGTCTGATTGATGTTTACAGAACAGTGTAAGATTCCCTTTGCTGTAATTTTAAGTAAAGCTGGGCGATATGGAAAAATGTAATATCACAATACTACGTTTTTTTCAATAGGCCTACATGATGCATTACAATATTTATTTTTTCTGGCATTTAATAAGTAAAAACAGACAAAGTGTTGTTTAAAAATACTATCAAAACTTATGAATCTAATTATTTGTATTCAACATTTCACACTTTGCTGCACTAAATCCAATTAAACAGGACTAATTCTGCTCTATTTCAGTCAAACATGCAGTCAGGTAGTGATATTTTGGTAATGATAACCAAGATATGCTTAAAAAAGCAGCCTATGACATACTGTAATATAAAAGAAAAAAGATAAATATTGTCATATTACTCAGACAGAAAGCATGAGGTCATCAATTCTATTAATAAAATCGATCGAACAGTGTTGTTGCTTTACCAAAACAACGGAAAATCAAAATTTGATTGTAAATAAAAGTATAAAAAATAACCACGCAGATTGTTTTATCACTTTAGGCCAAACAGAACAGCATTTTTCCATAATCACGTTAAATTTAGCTGTTGTTATTTACTTGAACTTTATTAATGCAAAAATAAAAATATTATCAAATATCGTGATATTTGGAAAACATCGTGATATTGAACTCGCCCAGCTCTACAGTACTCTACTCAAACCAGGCACAAATTGGCTTCTTTTCCCACTTTTCCGTTCCACCTTAAATGGTGCAGCAGCCCGTCTGGCGCCTGTACGGTCCAGAGCGTAAGAACGTAAGGGAGCCCCATTTAAGGTGGAACGGACAATTGTTAAAAGAAGCCAACTGAAGTTGGGTAGTGAGGAGTCTCACCTCTCTGAGTTGCTCCAGTTCGTGTCTGAGGGCCTCATATTCTCCCTCCAGCTCCTCGTATCTCTGTGTGAGCTGCTGCTTCTCCTCCAGCACGGCCAGCCCGTACTCCGCTGCCTGGATCTTCTCCCGGGTCGTCTCGCTCAGTTCCCGGGACAGCCGCTCCACTTCGGCCCGCAGCCACGAGCTCTGCTCGGCCGCGGACATATTTACCCCCCTTAAACTCACTCTCCCCCAAACAAAACACTCCGCAGCCTCCGCTTCATCTTTACTCCTCAACACCAAACACACCGACCGCTCCGATAAAGGTGGGGAATCCAGCTGGACTGAAAAAAGACGCGATTCCTTTAAGACGTTTGAATCTCGCCGTTGGGAAATGGAGTTCCGCCGCAGGGTGGATGTGTGGTAGCGGACGGCGCAGAGACTACAAGACCCAGAATGCTCAGCGGCATGGACACGAAGGCGGCTTCTCCGGGGGATACTGACGTCATCTGGATAACCGTTATGAAGCTACAGCGTTTACTTTCTCTTTATTCTTCAGCTATTTATTAAAAAATGTAATTTATAAATATAAATTTTGATTTATTTTACATATTTCCATTAATATTTAATTAAATTAATACATTATTTTACTTCTTTTAATATGTTTACATTTTTATGCATTCTGTCAGTTTTTTTTTATTTTATCATGAATTTTATTTTTACATTTTATTTATTTATTTTTTATTTATTTTACTTTTTTATTTATTACATAAAATCTGAAAATGCTTTGAATTTAAATGGCTTCCAGACAGGAATAGCATGGAAAGTGTGAGGTAAAAAAAAGTTCTGGAGAAAAATATAGATATTCTGTAGTCAAAGTAATGCAGGCAATAGACTCACTTAATTTTATACCGAAACCTATTTGCACATCTTCATTGCTTACTGTTGTTTTTTCTCCCAATATTGTGTATTTTATTGTTCAGTGAAGCTAAAAGGATAATTCTACTTTATATTATTTATCCCTTTTTCTTTATTACCATACTTATTTACATATGTATTCATTATTTTAAATCTATGTATAACAAAGATTTACATGCATATAACATAATACGATGTAATACAACACAATATAATACAATGTAATAACAGACGCTCCTCCCTGCTGCCCCCTGCTGGTTACAGTCCGCCATTACATCACTGCTGCATTTTAGCTTTCATTAAGATCAGAACCAGAATCAGAATCAGAATCAAGCTTTATTGGCCAGGTTTGCTTACACATACAAGGAATTTGGTTTCGGTTACAGGAGCTCACAGTGCACAGTATCAAACATTTACATGCAGTGAATAAAACCAAAATATAATGAATATAAAATAAAATACAATACAATAAGATAAAATACAAAATAAATAAAATAAAGATAAAATAAAACATGCATTCCTACCATCACTCACTCTTACACACACACACACACAGTCACACCTGTAACCTTTACTAGATAAACTGACCATTTAGTTTGTTTTTGTTTGTCTGCTTGTCTGTTTTTGTTTATGCTGCACATCTTGGGCTGTACTTTGTCTTCCATTCTCTCCTTTGTGTTACAGTTTTCCCAGTGATGTTCTTGTGCCTCACTGTTGTCCTTGTTTTCGATGCCCTGTAAAGAAAGCTTAAGCTTTGGAAAGGCGCTATACAGTGCTGTGAAAAAGTATTTGCCCCCTTCCTGAGTTTCTCTATTGAAGCGTTTTTGTCACAGTGAATGTTTTTAGACTTTAGTTTTAAGGAACAGACAAAAAGAACCCAAAACACTTTACGAATTACGTTATATTAATAATAGTAGTAATAATTATAATTTCATTTGTTTTAGGAACAAAGTTATTTAACATGAAAAAGTAATCACCCCCTTAAAACGAATAACTTGTTTCATGATCTGTAGTGGCAGTTACTGCAACCGGCACTTCCTATAGTTTTCTGTCGGCCTTGTTGTGGAGAAATTTGAGCCAATTTTTCCTTGCAGACCTGCTTGAATTCACTTTTTGAGCATTAACTCATTTGAGGCCTTGCCACAGTATCTCTACTGGGTTCAGAACTTTGACTGGGCCACTCCAAAACACTCCTTTTGTTGCTTTTCAGCCACTGAAATGTGGAATTACTTTTTTATTTACTTTGGATCATTGTCTTGTTGCATAACTCAGGTTTGTTTTAGCCTCAGCTGATGGGCAGATGAACAGACAGGCTCCTTAAGAGATCTCTGATACTCCTAATGCATGGGTCCTTCAATATTAGCAAACTGCCCAGATCCAGAGGCAGCAAAACATCCCCACACCTTCACACTACCACCACCATGTTTGAGGTTCCTGTGTAAAATGTATTACTTTCTTTATGGCAGATATAATGGGACCTATGTTGTCCAAAGGTTCCATCGTCCAGCAAATGTGAGACGGTTTTAACGTTTCTTTAGCAGTGTTTTCTGCCTTCCACTTTTTCTCAGTGCTTTTCTTACGGTGGAGCAATCAATGCTTGCCTTACCTGAGGCAGGAGAGGGCCTGCAATTCCTTAAGTGTTCTTCTGAAACCATTGGTGGCCTTCTGGAAGATCTGCTTCTGCAGCTTTGGAGCAGCTTTGAAAAAATTCACCAGTGTTCCTAGGATTCTCATTTAGTCGATAAAGGCTCTCGCTGTGCTTTGTTGATGTCCTAGAAACGTAGAAATGCTTTTGTATCACATTCAAATCTTGCTGGTCCTCATTTCTTTTGGATTTTCTTTTGATTGTGGCCTAAAATGCTTGTAAAAGCATTTTTGCTTTTTTTTTGATTTTGATTTTGATTTGATTTGATTTTGATTTTGGGGGTGGAGATCCCACCCCCGGCTACGCCAGACCAACCGAAGATCCGCGGCGCAGCGTTATCGTTACGTTTAGGCGGGATTCTGACTTAGAGGCGTTCAGTCATAATCCCACAGATGGTAGCTTCGCACCATTGGCTCCTCAGCCAAGCACACGCACCAAATGTCTGAACCTGCGGTTCCTCTCGTACTGAGCAGGATTACTATTGCAACAACACAACATCAGTAGGGTAAAACTAACCTGTCTCACGACGGTCTAAAGGGCTGACTACGTTCGGTCAGTGAAATTCAGTTCATATGTTGGTTGTGTAACTAAGGGGGGGGGCAAATACTTTTTCACACAAGGGATAACTTTGCTCCGTAAATAAGTTATCATGTCTAATATTGCATTTTGAGATCTAAAGCCATTCACTGTAACAAATATACAGTAATAGTCAGAAAGGGGGCAAATACTTTTTCACAGCGCTCTATTAATAAAAACGTGTTATGTCTCAGTTCGTACGCAGTTAGTTAGTTTTGCTAAGTCAGGAAGTGGGCTGGCTCTGAGACTAGACCAAGAACCTCTGATCAGGTAAGTCCAAATATGATCAGGTGAGTCCTGGTGTGTTTAGATGAGATGTGATCAGGTGAGTTCAGGTGTGGTCAGGCGTGTTCAGGTGAGTCCAGGTGTGTTCGGGTTTGAAGTTGAGTCTGAACATAATCAAGTGAGTCCAGGTGTGTTCAGGTGGAATTAGACGTGAATCAAGACTTCAGGTAAGTCTTGATGTGTTCACACCTAATCAGGTGAGCCTAGTTTTCGTCAGGTGTGTTCAGGTGTACACAGGTAAGTTCAGGTGTGATCAGTTGAGTCCAAAATGATCAGGTGAGTCCTGGTGTGTTTAGATGAGATGTGATCAGGTGAGTTCAGGTGTGGTCAGGCGTGTTCAGGTGAGTCCAAATATAATCAGGTGAGTCCAGGTCTGATCAGGTGAGTCCAAAATAAATCAAGTGAGTCCAGGTGTGTTTGGGTGTGATTAGGTGAGTCCAAATATGAAGTCTAAATATGATCAGGTGAGTCCAGGTCTGATCTGGTGAGTCCACATATGATCAGGTGAGTCCAGGTGTGTTTGGGTCTGATCTGGTGAGTCCACATATGATCAGGTGAGTCCAGGTGTGTTCGAGTGTGAGCAGGTGAGTGCAAATATGATCAGGTAAGTCCAAATATGATCAGGTGAGTCCAGGTGTGTTCGGGTTTGAAGTTGAGTCTAAACATGATCAAGTGAGTCCAGGTGTGTTCAGGTGTAATCAGGACATCAGGTAAGTCTTGATGTGTTCACATCTAATCAGGTGAGTTTTTGTCAGATGTGTCCAGGTGTAAACAGTTAAGTTCAGGTGTGATCAGTTGAGTCCAAGTGTGTTCAGGTGAGTCCAGGTGTGTTCAGGTGAGTCCAGGTGTGTTCAGATGGGATCAAGTGAGTTCAAGCTTTTTTTTTAAGGCATCGTATAAATAAAATGTTATTGTTATTGTTAATAATTATGTTATTGTGTCTGTAGAAACACACAGATCATAGAGTGAAATGCTAAGCAATTATACAGTGTAAAGTAACGTGATCTCTTCTTACTTATTAAATAAAAGTGAATTGTACATTAAAACATGTTAATGTGATTTAACTTGCTTAATCCGTGTCTTTTTTAGCTGGAATAGTCTCACCTGGTACCTTTTGATGGAATTCTTCTCACGCCGCGCATCTAAAACAGACTTCTAAAGAGAAAATGAAGAGCTTGAAAGTGAAATTAAACTTTGGGGTTTTCCGGCTTTTTGTTTTGATGTTTCTGCTGTCAATAAGCTCCTGACTCAGTGTTACGGAGTTTCACCTGGGAGTGTTTCATCCCTCCTGAAGAGTTTGTAGGCTCATAAAAGTTCAGGCTCTAAGAACCTCCTGCTTTCAGGACGCTGACAGCAACATGCTGGATTTCTACCATCACTGTAAGTTTGTTTGTCATTGTTTTGCTGAAGAAGTAAAGGGGGCACTGTCACATATTTCAACGTTTATTTCATTCCAGATAAGTTTTATCATTTCTTCTCTATTTGCTTTGGGCTGGGCTGTGGACTGAGCAGCTACAGGCCGTATTACTGCAAGTGTTTTCAATCGTATTTGCGTAGAATCGTATCTGATCATGCTTTAAACATCAGAGGCTGGATTCACGAAAGTGTCTTAAGAAAGAAAATCTGTGCTTTTTCTGAACTTCATTCTTAAGAAAAAAGTTTCAAGAAATTGTTATCCTTCAAATAACTTCGCAAGAATTCTCTTATTTTCTTTTCTTAACTTTTAAGAATAAATCTAAGAACAAGTGGAGTTCTTAAAAATATTACGTTCTTAAATGTTTTCTTAGTCTTATGACAGCCTAACACTCGTCTCAGGCTGTAAGAGTTGACAATGTCAGCATCTGAATTTATCACAGAAATCCTAAATTTATCTGCCGCTCCTCATCCTCGACCGTCACCCCACAATCACCATATTTTCCAATGAGGATTTTCTTCCTGTTGGCTGTTTC